ATACATAAATTCATATTTAAAGTGTATATATTTTTAAATTTAATAATTTAATAGCAGTGAAATAAGATTTAAATTAATACTTTTCTTCTGAAAATTCAAAAGATACAAATTATGGTTCTTTTCTAAAATATTGAAGTAGTGATACACATATATATGTATACATTATTTTAAAAATAAAAAGGAAAAATATCCGGCAACTCTTTTTTTTTCCAGAAGTTAAAGTTTTTGAAAGGAAAATCCGGATTTTTAAAGTACTATTTCCAGCCCTGGTTCCATACATGTTAATATTCCATACAAAAAAACGCGAAATATACGGAAAATTTATATTAATTTTTCAGAACTGTACCAAATAATACTTTTGTTTATTAATGGATGCTCGTGTTTCAAAAACAAATTTAAAAATTAAAAAAAAATTTCGCGTCTTTAAAATTTTAAAATTTTAATAATTGGACAAAATAAATATTTTATGCGAGATTTCATATATGGTGACATATACAAAAAGTCAAAGAGTTATGGATTTATCGAATTATTCCAATTATCGAGATTTTATTATTACTATAAATATGAAATTATCGAATAAAATTTTAATATAAGTGACACTTGTTCTTGAAAGATTATAAATTTAAGGAATTATGAATTTATCGCATATGAATTTAACGAGCTTTGACTGTAGTAGGTGTGTTACGAAATTCCATAATAAAATTTGCATTAGCTTTCGAAATTGACAACACATAATCCTTATTTACTAGATTCAAAAGGGTGATATAGTGCCATTTTAATAAAGGCATTCGAGTTTCAATGAATTTAATTTCGATTTCGATTTCGATTTCGATTTTAGTCGAAAGTCGAAATTTTTAGTATTAATATTAAGCAACCCTTTAAATTTATGTTTAACCAGTTTTTAAACTGGTTTTTTTTAAGCGGTGATCTTGAAACCAGGAACAAGGACCGAATCGAGCCGAACCAGTAACATAAGAAGAATGGATGGTTTATCAATAATTTTGATAAAAAAAATAATTAGAATGATTAATATTGTATAACATACTCAAAACAGAATCCAGATAAACTATTATGAGTTTCATTAAAAAATGTGTCTATAAAAAAAATGATTATTTTATATATAGAAGAAAAAAATTTTTATAATAATAATAAAATCCAGTTTGAATCCGGTTGCTATAATTTTTTCAAAAATGAAAACTGGCACTATTTTTGGTTCTAGTACTAGCCTGGTAAATATTATCCTTTAAATGGTCAGGGTGTTCTTTTAATGTAACACAAATAAGAACATAATTTTTGATCGGCAAAGCGAAAATAATCAAATAAACTTTTAAAGAATTTACCAAATTTTTATTTATGGATCCAATTGGCTGAATCTCAAAGATCGCTTTCATATTAGGAATAAATAACCTCAGAGAAAGTTTTATATATTAATATTAATATAGAAAAAAAATTTCGGCTATCGATAGCAGGAAAACCGTTTAAGGGATATACCCTTAAAAGTCTGGGACCTAGGATTTTTCTAATCCTGTACCTTTAAAAAAGTCTTATTGTATGTTTTTTGCCCCAAAGGTTTCTGAGGTCTCAATTAAAAGCTGGTCATCAAAAAGGTGTACATCCTGAAAGTTGCATACATTTGTATTATTCAAAAAAGTGATTTTATTATTAGTTTTTTCGTGCAATTAACACAACCACGAAAAAATATTCTTTTTAACCTTTAAAAGATTTTTTTCGGTTACGAAGCTTAATCTTCATGTTACATGAAAAAAAATTTCATTAAATATATACAGAAAACTTTATTTTACAAAAAGCATCAAAAAAAAAAAAAAAGAGAAATATCGTCGTTCTCATATCTTGTTGTCAATCGATTTGATTGATAGTTTGAATCTTGATTGAATGACCTATATCATTATTATTTGTAATAATGATTTATAATTTTCTAAAAGTTTTGCCAGCAGCTAGCTATTTCATCCTCTGCGAATTCTAGAGATTCTAGAATACCGAATGAGCCTATTATTATTATCGTCATCATTTATTGTAATTAACTTCAATGTCTGTTTCTTCCAGTCCTAATTCATCATCACAATCTTTATTTTTTTGGGAGGAGAAAGAGAGAGAGAAAAACAAAATCAATAAAAAGGCCCTTTGATTATGATGACGATGATAACGATAATAACGATAGAAGAATAATCTTTACTTACTTTCAAAATCGCAAACCCCTAATGGATATGAGATTACATCGTGGTTATGGTTAATAATTATTTGACAAATTATCATGAAAATGATTATATATATTTTAATCATCTTTCTCGTGTGTATATTTATTAATTAAAGAGTAAAAAAAAAATATATATTTATAAAAAAGATAAAATGAGGGATTATTTATATCAGAATTCAAAATATTTAAAAGATCTTGGCAAAATTTTCCAAGAAAAACGTGATTTGTACAATGACTAATAATTATATAAAACGGGTATTCATTTAGATCTCAAACAATCATAATAGAATAATTAAAAAACGACGTATACAGTGTGCATTTGAAATTGTTTAAACGAACATCGATGCAATGAACAACAACAAAAAAAAATAATCAATGATGTATGAAAAATTGAACTTGATCGGCTAATTTTTAATTTTCACGTATATGAAATTGCAAATTCATTTTCAATATTATTTTCATATATTAATTAATATTGGTGTTAATGTTGTAATCATGATCAGAAAAAAAAAATTATGTGAATGAATCTCAATATACATTAATCTTAATATTAACAGACGCTTGCCTACAATTTGTTGGTCCTTAATCATATTAACACATGAGCCTAGACAATTGAAAGGGATCATAATGTGAAAATGACGTTCGAAACCAGGTAGGGTTCCCCAAGTCAAAATGCTCTACATAAAGAAGTACATACAAGAATAACATTAACTCTAAATTGATTTTTTTCACATTATGCTACAAAAAAAAACCATAGGCTCCTTCAAAGTAAAATTTTTATTTCCTTATAAAAAAAACCGTCCTCTGAGATTTGTTTTATCTTATAAGAATAAAAAGTGAAGTGGCATATCGCATAACAATTAGTATTAGAGAATTATTGTCACGCATTTCCCCTGTCGACGTCAAAATAGTAAATTTTATTTTGCCAAAAGAACAAAAAAAATTTTTTTTATATTCCTTTTTCTATTATGCAGATCCACCAATTCTTATCTGACTTGAAATCAATGACATAAAAGTGTAACAAATTTTTTTGTTGTTTTCAACAAAGCTTTAGTAGCTGGATCACACATTTGTTAGTTTTATTTGTCACTGTAGACTTGTTTCATAAAATACTATTGATTAATACGTAAAACTTTGATTGATGGAATCTAAATAAAAACGAGGTCATTTTTGAACTCGGAAATTTCTATGTGACATAATAATAATGTTCATTTTGTCTGGTCTCAAAAACTTAATCAAATAAAATTTAAACATGGTCATCCAAAGTATTCTAACGATCGTGTTCTAATAAACAGCCACAAACATCTGACCCAGTTTTTTCACTTTTTCGATCTGTGTTATTTACAAGTCTTTTTTTATTGATTTATTTAAATAGAATTGTCATCAAGTTATTTAAAATTTTCTCAGACGACTATTAAGCTGGTTTGGTTTAGCCGGCTAAGCCGTTAAATTTCTGATATCATCACCATTAATATTATGTCAACAACAAATAAAAGCCATTTGGTTTTAACTTTCTTTAAAGGTGATTTTTTTATTAAACAAAATGAAACTTTGAAAAGTCTTAAGCATACAGCTCAAAAGATCATAAACATACTGGAATGTAGAAGACGGGCCACTTTTTCAAAGTAAACGATTCATTCGATTCATTCGATTCATTCGTTCGTTCGTTTAATATAATATTACAGATAGGTGTGTTTACTAAGACTGCATCTGCGTTAGCTCGAGAGAAAAGGTCAGACGTCACGTGATAAATGACACAATTTTCCCATTTTTATTTTTCAAAAATTTAGCCAAGAAATAGCCAAGAAATATTTACTTCTTATGTATGTATCTATCTATAATGATGAAAATAAATAATAAATCTAATCATCTTTTTGCAAAATAAAAAAAAATTTACATTTACAAAAAATAATGTATTTATATAATAAATAATTGAATTAAAAAAAAAATAAATATATATAAAGAATGATAAAAAATTTATTAGCCAATTAATTAATTGAAGTCATTAATTGCCCCCTCTCACTCTATACAAATCCACATCTACACATGTACATATATTTTTATATTTAATATTATTTAATTGAAAGAAAAATTGATTTTTAATAAATGTGTGTGCAAGTGTATATATATATATACACATATATATGTATGTGATATTATATGTGTATGTTATAAATATAAATATATGTATATATGTATATATATATATGCTTTTAATTTTAATTTTTACATAAAATCTAAAATTTTTAAATTAAAAAAAATAATTTATATATATATAAAATAATTTGTTTTTAAGATAAAGAGAATCTATAAAGTATAATTTAAAATACATCAACACCTTCCATGATTGTTAATCGTTTAACTCGCTCTTCAATAGATGTCATATCTATTGTTTCATCCTCAGCTTCTTTTCCCTTCTCACTACCTCTATTCAAATAATTATAAAACCATCTTTCCAACAATCCACGAACTTTTTCTTTGACCATTTCATGTAACGATGGTTGATTCCATGCGATCATAAGTGCTTCGACTATTCCAAATTCGGCCAATCGTTCAGCATATCGATTCTGTGCAGGTGGTGGCGGTGATGAGCTGGAAATGTCCCCAACAGATAATATATTGATCAATGTATCTACCAGTTTGTTTAATATTTCTTGAGGTGTGGATATTTCACGTAAATGATGTAAAAGTGGTGTAAGGATATCATGTTGTAAAATAACGCTACATTTTTATTAACATTTAAAATTTTTATTAATAAAATGATTTTATTTATTCATTAATATTTTAAAAAACCCCTATTTGAAATTCTTACTTGACATGACCAGAATCATGTAAACTTGTAGAGTTGCTAAGTACCCAACATGCTTCTTTCACAACTTTCATATCGCTATCCCAAAGCAGTGTAACAATACTATTCATCAAATTTGGTTCAGTAAGAACTGATTCTACCTATAATAATAATAATAATAATAATAATAATAATAATAATAATAATAATAATATTTAATTCAATGTTAATATTTAAAAGAAATCACATCAATTAGATGAAAAATGAAATTTATCTGGAAATACCTGGCCAAATGTACCCGCAGCAACATTAGAGACTGCAAGGCACGCATCACGTCTTAATGTTATATTCTTATTATTTAAAAATGTGTTAGTTAGAACAGTCAATGCTCCTGCATCTATGACTGCTTGAGTTTGCTTTTCTATTTACATGCACATTTAAAAATTACATATATTATAATTATTTGCGATTAATATCAATATATATATAATTAGTAATAATAATAACCAAAACCAACCTGCGCCAGATGCAATATTAACCAAGGTACGTAAAACAGGTAAATGCACAGAAGAGCTTAATCCATCCTCACTACTCAATATATATAAAAGATATAATTGCATGTGCGTGTTAAAATGTATATATAAATGTAATAATAATAATGAATAATATGATGGTAATAATTATAATAATTTAGTGCTTACCTTAGTATTTCAACTAAACGACGACATAATATACTATCACTTACTAGGGCATGCTCTCTATGCCGATGAGTTCCATTCAAAATTCTGGATAATCCCCAACTACATTCAAAAAATATTAAATTATCATTGTTAAATCATCATGTTTATATATATATATTATATATATATATATATATATATACATTACCAGGCATCTGAAATAATTTCTGCGTCATCTAATTGTACCATGTTTGCTAAAATTGAAAATGCCGGTGTAATCTATTAAATATTTAATGATTAACATTTATTTTTCCTTTCTAATTCACATTATAACTATTCAATTAATAATAATATTATTATTAAAATAGTTGAAATGCATACCAATGACCATGAGGGATCCGTGCAACGACATCCACGACACATATTTGCAGTAGCCCAAACTGTAATTCTTACAGCCATATAATCATATTGATCATAATTTGACAATATATAAAGTAAAGGATCGAGTACTCCGGCCGATAATATGATATCTCTAAAAACAGCACCATCGCCAGCAATGTTTCCCAAAGCCCATATGATCTTTTTTTAGTAGTAAATCAATTCATTCATAAATTGATTAATTGATTCTTTATTTACTTTAAACAAATAAGCATTAATATATATATTCATGATTACCTGCGTTTGTACTTCAATATTATCTGTCGTTGACAATACTTTAAGAAGATGTTGTGTGATATCACCTGCAACTAAAGTTTGAGTGTGTTGAGAAGATCCAGCCTAATTAATAATATATCAATAATAATATTAAAAGATTAAAAGATCAATAAATTTCATTTAATGATTGATTACATATCTTAAAAAAAAAAAAAGTATAATAAATCACTTACAGCTATATTTGTAATAATCCAAGCCGTTTCATACTATATATATTAATTGGTATAATATAGGTGAATTGATTTAATTGCAATTTTTGTTCAATTAATTATAATTTTATAAAATCCATTCAATTCCTCTTACCTGTAATAAATTATCACTGTAATCTTCTAAAAAATCTATCAGTAATGGTAATATATTCAATGAAATGACATTATCAACTCTTTCATCAACATTCTCTTTTTTTTAAAAAAAAATTGAAAAAATAAGTTTACAAGAATAATATGTATATAACAATGAATGATTCATTAAAATAAATGAAATACACTCACGTAGTGAAAGATATTTTCGAAGTCTCACAACTGCAGCAAGACGAAGAGAATGAACCGATGAGTGAAGCGCATTATAAATTGCTTGTGAAAATTTTGGCAACTAAGCATTTCCAATGCCAAATAAAATTAAAAAGTTATTTCAACAACTGTTTTACATTAGATGTTTATTTTTTGAACAATAATAATAATCATATTTAATTTTGTTTTTTTTTTTTTTTATAATTGAGATTTCAATGAACAAAATAAAAAAACTATAAATAAATAAAAGAGAATAATATCAGTCAATCACAATATACTTAAGCCTACCAATTCAGATGCTTCACAAATAGGTAAGCCATCATTTCCTGAAGTATTCGTGCTTTCTGACGTTACAGAAAGATTTGCTAATTTCCGATTCAAGAATTCAATAATATCAGAGTCTTCTTCAGCTGTACTTTTTTCAGTATGTTGTAATGACATTTTGTAGTGTGAAATTTTTTTTTTTTAAGAATAAAAAAAATTTTTTTATTAAATAATAATAATGAATTTAATAAATTGTTTTTTTTTATTTATTTAGAAATATAAAAATCATAGCAAGGCTTGCTTTCTTTTTTTTAATACTATATTATAAATATTAAATATTAAGAAAATGAAAAATGTTTTCTTCGACTTTTCACTACTTCATCTACATGTTACACGGTGTAATCAGTCGTTAGTCGTACACGCGTAACATGAAAGAGAAAATTTTTGAACTAACGAAATTTTTTTTTTTATTCAGCCATCCATTTCAATTATTACATGATGAGATAAATAAAAATTTTTTTCTAATATTGGTAAAATTAAAAAAAATATATTTGTTCTTTTTGGAGAAAATTCAATCACATGCTTAAAATGTTTTTCTCACAAACAAGCAAGATGATACAATTAATATTAATATTAAATATTTTTATGTTGGAAAATTCCAGAAACGCAGCAAAAAAATCTTTTCAACCCAATATAAATATCAAGTGTCTTTGAACAAACAAAAACTCATCCAAAATCAAAATCAAAATCAAAATCAAAATCAAAATCAATTCAATCCAAAAAAAAAATTTAATTCGAAAAAACAATTAATAAAATTTATACAACAAAACCAGAAAAGTGAACATTGTATTACCAAGTATTTCAGGGTTCAAAAATTTTAATATCACACCAATTGTACTACTAATTTTCAAATGGGGCATGCTGCAACAAAACCAGACAAAGTGAACATTGGTATTACCAAATATTTCAGGGATCAAAATTTAGTAATGTGATTATTAAAATTTTCCATTTGTTATCCTCTTAATATTAGGTGATATATATAACTACCATATAAAAATAGTTAATATGAAACTCATTTATATTAGATCTACTATGGAACCCAAGAATTACAGTACCATTAAAAATATTTTGAAGAATGAACAAGGTGAGAAAATTGCTCCTTATATTTGCTTTATTTGCTTTTATTTGCTTTATTCGAATAAATTTCATTCAAATAGAAACCCTAACTACTACTCACAAAGAGCTTTAGAAATGTTTAACCAATAACTTAATTACAATATAAAA